TGAACTTGATATCAAATTTTCGCCTCCTCTTCATCTCAGCACGGTTAAAGTTACCCTTGCGGTCTATCACTGGCAAATCAAAAGTGAGACGATGACACAACTGCCCCCCGTACTTGCTTGTTACCACATTCCACCCGACCACAATAAAATACTGGCCATTATTCACCTCCGCCGACTCCGACCAAAATATGATACCCGGCCGTTAATTGAATACAGGCCAATATTAGAGGATTTATGGTAAATTGTTTTAAGAGCTATTTATATTATTAACACCACTTGAGGCCAGCGAGCTGTGATACTCAATTTAAATATAGAATATCACCTTGCCTGGTCTTTATTTGGTTTAGTCAGAAGATTCTAGGATTCTTTATTCATTAGGGAATTGTACAGACTTCGTTATGATTCAAGAAACAGTCAGGTTTATAAAAATAAGAATTTATTTTTACAAACAATTAAAACTTGGCAAAGTGGTTAAACTATTATTTACTGTGAGTGAATGGAACTAAAAGGTGATGTCTGGAACCTATGTGTGAATATGACATAGTCAGAATCTCCGTATCTCAGAGAGCTGAGTTCTGGATGAAAAGAATTTGGTTAAGCTATAAATAGATTATTATCAAAACCACTTTCAGACGCAATCTCACTGTGTTCTACATACCCAAGCGGAGACGCCCTTTTTGATCCAAGATGTCAGGAGGGGTCGGAGACCCCGGTACCGGAGTCCGTAGACTAACTCCTAGTACGACCAGGTCAGTCCAGGGTCATCTTCCAGGTAACGACAGTTGGACCTAGTTTGCGTCTCAGGAATAACTCTTAAGGATTTGTAACAATATCAGCTTTGTTCTGCAGGAAACTATCTTATCAGCTTTGCAGGTGCGGAAAAAGTTAAAGGTGCCAAAATCCTTGATGGTTAAAGAGGTTTTGCGATGGATGGCCAGTCTGAAGCTTGCTCTAGAACTGACAAATTACTCAAAGTTATCTAGTTTTGAACTACAGAACGAAAGTTAAAATGCAATACAAATGATAAAGAATAGCAAAATGTTAAAATTTCAAAGTAATAAAAGGTAAAACTGTAATCAAGCAATTTAAATGTTAAATATTACACGATTAAAATTTAAAGGAAAGTAAATAATTAAAATATAAACCGTCACCTTATCGTGGTGGAGGAGTTTGAGTGCCCTAATGATCCTAGGAGCTATGTTGTCTGGGGCACTTAGTGCCCCTGGTAGGGTCTCCCATGACAAATTGGTCTTAGGTGAAGGGTGAGACAAAGAACGGTTCGAAGGATCTTTCATGGCGGTTAAAACGAAGAGTCGGAGTACCCGGCCCGGAGGGTTACCGGGGTCCCACCCTGGAGCCAGGCCTGGGGTTGGGGCCCGTGAGCGAGCGCCTGGTGGCCGGGCTTTCGCCCATGGGGCCCGGCCGGGCCCAGCCCGAACCGGATACATGGGCTCATCCAACTGTGGACCCACCACCCGCAGGAGGAACATGAAGGGTCCGGTGCAATGCGAATCGGGTGGCAGACCAAGGCGGGAGCCTTGGCGGTCCAATCCCCGGACAAGAAAACTAGTTTTTGGGACATGGAACGTCACCTCGCTGGCGGGGAAGGAGCCGGAGCTTGTGGCAGAGGTTGAGCGGTACCGGCTAGATATAGTCGGACTCACATCGACACATTGCATTGGCTCTGGAACCCGAGACCTGGAGAGGGGTTGGACACTCTACTTTGCTGGAGTTGCTCCGGGTGAGAGGCGGAGGGCTGGGGTTGGCTTTTTGTTAGCCCCGAGACTCTCTGCCTGTGTGTTGGGGTTTACCCCGGGGGACAAGAGGGTAGCTTCCTTGCGCCTTCGGGTCGGGGAACGGGTCCTGACTGTTGTTTGTGCTTATGGGCCAAATATCAGTTCAGAGTACCCACACTTTTTAGAGTCCCTGGGACGAGTGATAGATAGTGCTCCATCAGGAGACTCCATTGTCCTGCTGGGGGACTTCAATGCTCACGTGGGCAATGACAGCTTGACCTGGAGGGGTGTGATTGGGAGGAACGGCCCACCTAATCTGAACTCGAGCGGTGTTTTGTTATTGGACTTCTGTGCAAGCCGCAGTTTGGCCATAACGAACACCATGTTCGAACATAAGGATGCCCACCGGTACACTTGGTACCAGGGCAGCCTAGGTCACAGGTCGATGATAGATTTTGTAGTCGTATCATCTGACCTGCGGCCGTATGTTTTGGACACCCGAGTGAAGAGAGGGGCGGAGCTGTCAACTGATCACCACCTGGTGGTGAGTTGGATCAGATGGCAAGGGAACATGCCGCGTAGACCTGGCAGACCCAAACGCATAGTGAGGGTCTGCTGGGAACGCCTGGCAGAAGAACCTGTCAAGACGGTCTTCAACTCCCACCTCCGGCAGAGCTTTGACCACGTCCCGAGAGCAGTGGGGGACATTGAGTCCGAGTGGGCCTTGTTCCACTCTGCGATTGTCGAGGCGGCTGTTGCTAGCTGTGGTCGTAAGGTGGCCGGTGCCAGTCGTGGAGGCAACCCCCGTACCCGCTGGTGGACACCAGAGGTTCGGGGAGCCGTCAGGCTGAAGAAGGAGGCCTACAGGGCGTGGCTGGTCTGTGGGTCTCCGGAGGCAGCAGACAGGTACCGGATAGCCAAGCGGGGTGCAGCAGTGGCAGTTGCCGAGGCAAAATCTCGGGCGTGGGAGGAGTTTGGTGAGGCCATGGAGAAAGAGTATCGATCGGCTCCAAAGAGGTTCTGGCAAACTGTCCGGCGCCTCAGGAGAGGAAGGCAGCAACTCGCTCACACTGTTTACAGTGGGGATGGGGAGCTGCTGACGTCAACTGAGGCTATAGTCGGACGGTGGAAGGAATACTTTGAGGAGCTCCTCAATCCCACCAATGCGCATTCCGAGGAGGAACCAGAGCTGGGAGGCCTGGGGATGGACTGTCCGATCTCGGGGGCAGAAGTTGCTGAGGTAGTCAAACAACTACACAGCGGCGGAGCCCCGGGGGCGGATGAGGTTCGTCCTGGGTATCTCAAGGCTATGGATGTTGTAGGGCTGTCATGGTTGACACGTCTCTACAACATTGCATGGTCATCGGGGGCAGTTCCTAGGGAGTGGCAGACCGGGGTGGTGGTCCCCATCTTTAAGAAGGGTGACCTGAGGGTGTGTTCCAACTATAGGGGGATCACACTCCTCAGCCTCCCTGGAAAGGTCTACGCCAAGGTACTGGAGAGGAGGGTCCGATCGATAGTTGAATCTCAGATAGAGGAGGAGCAATGTGGTTTTCGTCCTGGCCGTGGAACTGTGGACCAGCTCTATACCCTTGCAAGGGTGATGGAGGGGGCATGGGAGTTTGCCCAACCAATCCACATGTGCTTTGTGGATTTGGAGAAGGCTTATGACCGTGTCCCCAGGGGCACCCTGTGGGGGACGCTCCAGGAGTATGGGGTGGGTGGCTTTCTGTTAAGGGCCATTCAGTCCCTTTACCAGAGGAGCGTGAGTTTGGTCCGCATAGCCGGTAGTAAGTCGGACCTGTTCCCAGTGAGGGTTGGACTCCGCCAGGGCTGCCCTTTGTCACCGGTTCTGTTCATCACTTTTATGGACAGAATTTCTAGACGCAGCCGTGGTGTGGAGTGTGTCGAGTTTGGTGGCAGGAGAATCTCGTCTCTGCTTTTTGCGGATGATGTGGTCCTCCTAGCTTCATCCAGCTCTGACCTTCAGCTCTTGCTGGGTAGGTTCGCGGCCGAATGTGAAGCGGCTGGGATGAGGATCAGCACCTCCAAATCTGAGACCATGGTTCTCGACCGGAAAAGGGTGGCTTGCCACCTCCGGGTCGGGGGAGAGGTCCTACCTCAAGTGGAGGAGTTTAAGTATCTCGGGGTCTTGTTCACGAGTGAGGGTAGGAGGGATCGGGAGATCGACAGGCGGATTGGTTCGGCGTCTGCAGTGATGCGGACGCTGAGCCGATCTGTCGTGGGGAAGAGGGAGCTGAGCCAGAAAGCCAGGCTCTCGATTTACCGGTCGATCTACGTCCCAATCCTCACCTATGGTCATGAGCTTTGGGTAATGACCGAAAGAACGAGATCGCGGATACAAGCTGCCGAAATGAGTTTCCTCCGTAGGGTGGCCGGGCTCAGCCTTAGAGATAGGGTGAGGAGCTCGGACATTCGGGAGGGACTCGGAGTAGAACCGCTGCTCCTCCGGATCGAAAGGAGCCAGTTGAGGTGGTTTGGTCATCTGGTCAGGATGCCTCCTGGACGCCTCCCCGGGGAGGTGTTTCGGGCATGTCCTGCCGGCAGAAGGCCCCCGGGTCGACCCAGGACACGTTGGAGAGGTTACATCTCCAATCTGGTCCGGGAACGCCTTGGGGTCCTGCCGGATGAGCTGGTGGACAAGGCCGGGGAGAGGACGGCCTGGAGCTCCCTAATTGGGATGCTGCCCCCGCGACCCGGACCCGGATAAGCGGAGGAAGACGAAGACGAAGATGATTAATGATTAACACATTAAAGGAATATAAAATTAAAAGTAAGTAATTAAGCTATCAAAGATTCATGTAAATTGAGTAATAATAGTGGTGAAGATAAAACAAACTTTAGCAATTCAGATTCCTTTTGGTTAGAAGGATAAAATCCTTTCCTGAGCCTTTCGAACATCGCTGGTATAATGCCTCACTGATCTTTTACTCATTAGGGGAAATAGATTCTCATAAGGTAAGGAACTTTTAGCTCATTGACTTTGGTCAGCACCTCTTAATGCTGAAGTTATGTTACGTCCTCTATCCTAGTATTTATTTATCCATGTGGCTATGCAGTGTTTCCCCTACATAGGCTCAGGCGTGGTGCCACAGCTATGAATGTAACACCCCCGCCGGACAACTTCGATCTATACACAGATCCAAGTGGTCCGGTGGGCGGAACCAGGACCCATATACATACATATATACATACACACACACATTTATATATAAACATACATATATATCAGAGGAATCTCAATGCCCACACTGTGGTGATAATCCGGTTCTTTTTCTTCTTTAAGTCACCGTTGGAAGTTGGTCGAGCAACTTAGATTTGTAATCACATGAATAATACCAGATGACCTTCTTTATAAAAAGATGGTTTAATTATAAATCCAATCGTGCTACAACTCGGTCAAAAAACTGTGTTGCCTCCTAACGCTCCAACTCCCATCTACCCAAAAAATAACCCCAACAAAACCTTCTATACAAGGAATTATGGGATACAGGAAGCCTAAAACACAAAGAAAATGTTTCTGAATTTTAACACTTCTAGATTCTATGATTTTAACTTAAGTGTTTCTGTATTTTTAAATTAAATTATATTTTTTAAACATCACAAATATGCATTTTTTAAAACTTATTCACTAACATATCCTAAATGAATTAGCAACTAATTGGCTCTTAAGCTTGGGTTATGCTTGACACATTTACTTTCCGCTTGGTGATGCGGCTCGCGGATGGAACGCGCTTCACAACTCGCAGCGTTTATGGTTCATGCGGCTCGTCTCTGCGGTGAGCCAATATTCTCCCAAACTGTAGGGGGCAGCATGGAGCTCTACAGCATGCATCCAACAATACACCATAGTAGAAATAGAAATTACTGTGTACAACATGGCATTCCAGCATTTTTTAACAGCGTCCTCGTCTTTTCCGACAGTGCGAGATATTTCTCTCCAAGAATTATTAACAACATGTTGATCACGGTGATCTCTGAGAGCTGAATCATACAAATGTCTGTATTTATGAACCTCTGCCATACTAGTTCTTGACAGGCCGCCATGTTTTTCGGCGTTCGACCGTCCGCGTGGTCAGAAAATTTCCTAGGTGCGCGGTGCGGAAAGTTTGGGCCGTGCGAAGGCGCGGTGGAGGGGCGTGGTTGTTAAAATGATGCAATTTTGCCCCGCAGAGCTGTGCGAACCTCGTGGACGCATCAAGCATAAACCAAGCTTTACACACACTTTACAAAAGCTTGCTATGCCCTTGCTCGCACACACATTCTCCTCCTCCTCCACTCCCCTGCTCTCACAGATGGAATTTTTTTCCCGTCATAACACCTTCAAAATAACCCATTATGTCTTGTGTGAACTGTAATGTGACAGTTTAAATCTGTCTTGTCTCTAAATCTTTGACCACAGGTCTCACAGACAAAAGGGTTTTATCTTGTGTGGACTCTCACGTGATAGTTTAAATGTGTCTTTTGGCTAAATCTTTGACCACAGGTTTCACAGGCAAAAGGTTTTTCTCCCGTGTGGACTTTCATGTGAACGTCTAAGGCTTGTTTATGGGCAAATCTTCGACCACAGGCCTCACAGGGAAAAGGTTTTTCTCCTGTGTGGACTCTCATGTGAATGTTTAAATTTCCCTTTCGGCTAAATCTTTGACCACAGGTCTCACAGGGAAAAGGTTTTTCTCTTGTGTGGACTTTCACGTGAACGTCTAAGGCTTGTTTATGGGCAAATCTTCGCCCACAGGTCTCACAGGCAAAAGGGTTTTCTCCTGTGTGGACTCTCACGTGATAGTTTAAATGTGTCTTTTGGCTAAATCTTTTACCACAGGTCTCACATGCAAAAGGTTTTTGTCCTGTGTGGACTCTCATGTGACAGTTTAAATGTGTCTTTTGGCTAAATCTTTCACAACAGGTCTCACAAGCAAAAGGTTTTTCTCTTGTGTGGACTCTCATGTGAATGATTAAATTTCCTTTTCGGCTAAATCTTCGACCACAGGTCTCACAGGGAAAAGGTTTTTCTCCTGTGTGGACTTTCATGTGAAGGTCTAAGACTTGTTTATGGGCAAATCTTTGGCCACAGGTCTCACAGGCAAAAGGTTTTTCTCCTGTGTGGACTCTTATGTGCCTGTTTAAATTATACATTACACTAAATCTTTTACCACAGTCATCACAACTAAATGATTTTAGTTTTTTCTGGACTCTCTTGCATGAGTATACATGTTGCTTCACTTCAACACATTTCTTTTTGACCAAACAACTTGAAGACCTTATTGCTGAATGACCTGACACTCTGACATGTTTCTGGAGAGACCTCTTGTGGAGAAATTGTTTACCACACTCAGGGCAGCTAAAGGACTTGTCGGCAGTCCTAATATGTGAATCAGAAGACTTGCTTTCAATCCAGTCAATGTCTTCTTCTCCAGTTTCAGACCCAGAGTCAGACAGCTCAGAGTCTAGATTCACATCATCATCCTCTTCATCATCTCCACTCATTTCAGTTTCTGAAGAATCAGATGTCTGTTCATGATGGTTCAGATCTTGGTTCCTGCTAGTGTCTGCTCTTCCACCGGTTTCTGCTGTCATCTGGTGAGCTGAGCTGCTGTTTCGAACTTCTTTGTCTTCTACTTGCTGCTGATGAAGCTGTGAGAACAGAGGTTTCTCTTCATCATCCTCACTCTTTATAGAAGCCAATGTGAATGGAAACCTGGCAGCATCAGTTTTCTCCTCCAAATGGAGTTGCTCTCCCACCAGGCTGGTCCAGTTTTCTTCTTGTTCCTCCTTCATGTGGATGTGTTCTGGGTCTTTCTGGTCCTCACCTGCACTCTGTTCCTCAGGAGCTTCTTCTTTAACCAGCACCAGCTGTTGAACATCTGTAGGAAACAGAAACACACTGCAAATTATTTGCAGCTTAACAAGATTTGTTGTCTTTAATCTAGCCAAATTATCTTCTCCATCTTGTTTTAAACATTACAAGCTAGTTTCCAGTCTAATGCGTTAGAAGATCAGTCTTGTTTTAAGTTAATTTTGTTTTTTATTCTTATGTAGTCTGTAAATCTGAAATTTAACCATTTTACATTAATTTCAAGCAAAAAAAAATTCAGCTATCGTTTCAAATAAAAATCTTTCTCAAAATAAGAACCACTCACTTGATTTTCTTTAAATAAGAAAAACACAGTCCCATCAACATATTTATTATAGGTTTAAAGCAATGACATCTTCCAGGTTATATTTTGTCATAACATAGACACAGTTTTTGAAATTGACTGTGTAATATGAGGTATAATCAAGTAGGTTTTCAACATCAGTCAGTTCGGTTGCTTGGGCAAGGTTAGGTATCGCAACTTCATAGGCAAGAAACTCTTTGTTAAAACCCAATGTTTCATACACCTGGTATTCAAAGCAATATAGCACACTATTAACAACAAAAATGTTTTTTATAAGTCCAAAGGTAGGGATTAAACCATTTGCTGAAATAAGAATCATGGATCTGTCACAGATGTATTTGCTACCATGTGAAATAAGCCACTTTACTCTAACAGCATGATGTACAGCATCTTCAATGCCCAAAAAATCTACAACCTTTGATTGTAAATGATTAATATTAGATACATCTGATACAGGACCTAGCTCTTTTTCATGTAAAAAAATTGGATGCTCAATTCCTGTTTCACTTTGACAACACTCCAGCAGCTGATTGTGGTTTACAAGAGACTTGCACACATTCTTAAAATTTAATTTGGATGACCATTGTTTAAAAAAACTATGTTTAGACTCGAATCTCATGCACATATGCCGTATTACAGGTCCCAGAGCAATAATCTGAGAGGGAAGATGTAGCATGTAATGTTGCTTTGGGATTACATTGTTTTCAGGAAATAGTTGTCTGAATTGTTTAAGATGATTCTCTATCATCTGTTTTAGTTTGGACACAGTTTGTACAGACAAAACTGGGGCAAAAAGTATTTTAACAATTTCAATTAAATCCAAAATAAACTGGATATATGGATTTTTCTCCACAACACAGTCCAATAAGAATGGCAAAATCTTGATCAATATAAGCATCTGTCCAGAGGATTGTTTAAGTCTGTTGTCACTTGAAGCTAAAGTAGCTATACTAATTGGTGAAGGCTTGTCACGTATGTCTGTTGATGAAAAAGGAAAAGTCTGCATGGCAGAATTAAAAATGTCCAACTCTAAATTTCCAGATAAAACAAGATATTTCAACACACACTTAATTTCCATTGGTGCCACTCCTTCAAGAATTATATGCATAATATCCTGTGGCATTTGCTCTATGAGATTAAAACCTGGGAAATCAACTAACTTGCTTTGTCTATTTATGCCAAAAGTCGTTTTAAGCGAGGATTTTAAGAATTCAGTAGTTGCCCTATCAATTTCTTTGCATTGTCTTATGTGTCCGTCCAATGTCCGTCTGGTGAAACTCTGTTCATTGAAATTTGCTTGCATTTCATCAAAAGTACACTCACAATGGCGGCATTTGCTATATGCAAAACCAACTCCTTCCTTAAATCCTGCAAGCTCATGCTGGGCAAGAGTGTCTCCACACACAGCAATAACTGCTCCATTTAAATAAAATTCCCCATTCACAGTGTTAATCATAACACCGTCATACAGCAACTTCAAGTCCTCATCAATTCTCTGCAGTATAATGTCTACCCCACACTCATCTATGTCTTTAGACTTTGCGATTCCAATAAGTCTGATTGAAGCCAGCTTTGATCTAAACTTAGGGTCGATGTTGCCTAATGTGTAATAAAACATTAATAATTTATTTACACCTGCACGTGACCCTAGGGGGTTACAAATTTCTATCTCATCAGAATACAATATAAGTTGTAAAGCAGAGTTTTTCTTAGAAAACAGTGGGTGGGTTTTGAAAATAATTCCATCATTAATGTCATACAAAAAATTGGCCTTGGAGCAACTTTGAGGTGCAGCACTGAACATGTCAAATAGTCTTGAATTGGATAGTAGCTGTTTCAAACTTTCAATCAGAGGGATGTAGTAGAAAGACTTGTTTTTGATTGCAAGAACTCTAGATTCTCCCTTTTTAACTCTACAGGCATACTTGGAAATGATGATCTCCTCAGGTGAAACCGGGTTAAAATGCATCTGTGTTGCTGGGTCCTGTAGGTTAATAGCTGCACATAGAGGAAAGGGGTCCTGAAAGTTGTCCAGTGTTGAAAGAACTTCTGCTTGTAAAGGTCCAGTGCTGTCAGGATGCCTTTGTAGGATGGTCTTCATTTCTTCTCTCAAGGACGCCAGAAGAGCCGTTTGATACTGTTGAACACCAAGGACAATGTTGTTCACACTCGTCTGATGGAAAAAAAAATAACATTAGATAAGTGGAAATGTAAACAATATGAAAAACATAGCAATGCAACTCAATGACGGTCCTCATCTGAAATGTTTCTTTAACATAGAATGTGCTACTACTTCAGCTGTAGAAATAGTTCAGATTCACACAAATAAGCTTCTAAAGAATCATAAAATGAGCAGCCTCAGAAACACTATTAAGTAAATGTGGTGTGTGTGTGTGTGTGTGTGTTCTTGTCTTCTCCATCCCCAGTGAGTCGTGGAGGATGGCTGCTTATACTGAGCCAAGATTCTCTGGAGGTTTCTTCCTGTTAAAAGGGAGTTTTCCTCTCCACTGTCACTAAATGCTTGCTTAGTATGAGGATTGCTGTATAGTCACTGACACTAGTCAGTGACTCAATGCAACCTGCTGGGTTCCTTATATAGGAAACTTTTTACTGAGTGGCATACCTAACTGTTTACTGTGTGAAGTGCCCTGAGACGACTCTTGTCATGATTTGGCGCAATATAAATACAATGCATTGAATTGTTAACTTTTTTTAGTGTTATTTATTTATAGTAAAATAGTTATGAAAAAACTTATTAAGGTTAAAATATCTTTTCACTCCAGTGAACTACACTTTAAAATTATCCCCTTTTTTTCCAAATGAACAATGACACAAAAATAGGGGGTATTATTAGATGAGGCAGTACCTGTGATAGGTGGCATTGCTCCCGCACACCAATAGCAAATGCAGCTGCACGTCTGGCGAGAGCAACAGGTTCTCTTACGCCCTACAGGACCAAAGAAAGACAAGTGTGTAAGAAAAGTAACACCCTGAATGTGTTTCCAATTCTATCAGTAACTAAACAAAGCAAAACAAATATTACAACAGTTGGTTGTATTTATTTGCAATTACAAAATTAATACGATGAGGCATATCTATTCAAGCTGCACATTTTGTAAACAATTTAGGAATTATTTAATAAATTTAAGCAATCTTTATGGAATCGACTCCGGAGTTAAGTGAACCCGCTTGTTGAAAGCTGCTGGTTCACTGTTAAGTCAGTTACACCAATTATACACCAGTAAATAAGGAGAAGTTTAAATCGGTTTAAAATATTGTAACTCAGCCTACAATATTTTACAAATATGAACTTCAGTAGACACAATTTGAAAAAAAAAAAAAAGCTGACAACACAACAAATAAGTAAAATAAATAAATATGGAGGAACCATAACAGCATCAGTAAACATCATGTCTGAGCTCTGTGTGTAATATTCATATTCATAGTGATGTTCACTTTGACGCCTAAGTTCGCCTAAAATATTTTAATATAAATAAATGTGTATTTCTGTGTCTGTTTTTGTGTATTACGATGTACATTGATTTTACTTCAGTATGCCTGTAAGAAATTGACAGAAAAGTGACAACAAACAAGTGATGAGGTAAAGGATAAACCATCTGAAACAAGCTTCAGTGTTAGAAAGCTTCATTTGGAAGATATTCATAAATCACACACACACACAAAGTACATTACCTGATTCTGACGTGGTGTTTGAACATCCGATTGGTCTTTGTCCATCAAATTCCGACTTTCCTGTCGCTCCTGCTCCAACACAACCGAGGTTTGTGGGAAATCTGGTGTTTCTGCTTCAATTGGTCTTGTTTCGGTAGTACAGTCGGCAAAAATAGCTGTACCAAAATGTTCACTTCCTAACAGATTTGCATCGAATGAAGCTGAGAGACAACCTGTGGGAGGGTTCCCAGCGGCGAAATATTGTGAATGTGTCCGTCTGAGATGGTAGTAGAAAGAGTTGAAAACGCGGTATTCCTCAGCGCATCCATCGACTCCACAAATGACACGGAAATCCGGACTGCGACTGTGTGCAGTATTAATGTGACTTAAAAGTGACTTCAGCGTTAATGCAACAAAAACAAAGCAAATAACGCACCTCCAGCAGGCCATTGTATAACTACAAAGTCACGCATAAAATGTTGGTTTATAGTCAAGTTCAAAAGCTACTCTTTAGCTACTTCACCTTTGAGCCGGAAGTGGAACTTCTACCGCGCTAGTTTGGAACATACCAACTTGATGGGGTTTTTATCCTAACTATGTAACAAAATAAAACTGCCCCAAAAAAGACACTGAAATGAAATCCATAAGACAAGTTATTTAATAGAATAAGAGATTTAAATATACTAACTTTTATCATGAATGTACAAATTACTAAAATTCATGTAGAAGCAAAAATTTAGATTTTCACCCCCTTCTTGTTCCGTGTTAGTTGTTACCCAACTCCATTTTATTTGCATGCGGGCGATGTTCGTTACAGTGGCAAGAAAAAACTGTATGAGAACAAACACTTCATGAATAGAGAGAGGTAAGCAATTTTAAAATGTGATATATAAGCAAGAGAGAGTTAAGCAATTTTAAAATGTTATATATAAGCAGTGTTCAGCCTAATTGTTGTTTTCAACTCAAGCGGACAGAATAGATTTTTATTTGGGCGGGAATGTCTAACGGAGCATGCTAACAAATGCTAGCGTTAG